TTTTTTTTTTTTTTTTAAGAAATCCTTCCTCACTACTGAATCTTAAAGGTACTCTCTCACATTACTTTTTTATTAATGTTACAGTTTGATCTCATCACATTTAGTTCACAGGAATTCAGCTTTGTATTATTGATTATCTTCATGTGGAGCAAATTTTAAGCATCAATCTGTCTTCAATATTGAATTTTATTTTGGGAAAGCAAAATTATTACAATTTTAGCCTTGAGTACAGAGATCAAGATGGTTTTATACTAGGGCTTGACCTGAATATTTTAATATTCTTTAGCTGAAGAGGAGGCAAATGAAGAAGATGTATTGGGAGATGAAACAGAGGTGAGTTGGAGAGTAAGGTTAGTCACTGGCCTGGCCGTGTGCCATTACCTTGACCATATTGCTTAACATCAGTGTTAGAGGGCTTAAATGGTAACTCATTAAGGGAGCATTGGGGAGAGGAAAGCTTCAGAAGACTGGTTCATTTTGGAGTTCTCATATTCTTCTCTTCACAGGTATATACTTTTGACTTATGTTAACTGTCCTGTTCTGTTTGGTTTTAGGAAGAAGAACCAAAGCCCATAGAACTGCCTGTCAAAGAAGAAGAACCACCTGAAAAAACTGTTGATGTGTAACTATTTCTTTTTATAATCTTAGTGCGGAGTAGACAGTTCTGGTGTTTAGGGGGTGTAGTGTTTCACTCTGTTTACCTCTTACACATTCCCATTGGCCTTTTTCTCATTAGATCATACATTTTCAGAAGACTCTACTTCATTCCAAGTATATGGTTTCAATGAAGCAAAGTAGTTAGTCTCTGTGTAATATAATAGAGGTTACATAATCAGGACCAGGGGATATCAAGCACTGACAAGTTTAGTTCTCCTAGCCTTGGTTGCATCTCCATAATAGATGATTCTCTTTCTGTGTAGAGAATCATATAGATTCTCTGCATATGAGGAATTTTGTAAGGGAGGAGGGTGCTGAGCAAAGGTTATGTCTGTCAACACCATATTCTTTTTTCCTTTTTGATTGACAGTGGAGGAGGGGAGGACAAAGTACTAGAGTGGAAAGTGGAACTTGATTTATTTAAACTATCCCATAAAGTTGCTCATAAATATCTTTTATATGGGGTTCTTTCCGTAAGTGTCTGGCCATCTTATACTCCAGCACATTAAAAACAGTTGAAGTCTTTTTTTAACATTTTTGTTCCTCATAGCTGTATTGCATTTGATTATAAAAGGCAATAAATATACTGATAAAAAGTCAAACAGCACATAGAGGAGTCTGGAAATGAAAATTAAGTACTCTTTCTCCATGCCCATCTGACTCCCCAGATATTTTCAACATATTCTTTTGCAATTATTTATATGGGGTGTATATGTATATACAGATGCATACATGGAAATACTACATATTGTTGCTTTCTATATCATCACGTAATGTCCTAATTAAACGATAGTTACATACTAAGTGAGGATCTAAGTGTTTTCTGTGAGGATTGTTTAATCCTCAACTAATCCTATGAAATAGGAATTATTATGGTAGGTCTCTTTTTTTTTTAGCTTGTTGTTATGGGAAATTGCCAAGAATATACAAAAGTTATAAGAATAGTATAGTGGACTTGTCACCCAGATTTAGTAGTTATCAATTTATACCCTTATTCTATCAACTAGTAGTACCCCATTCTATGGATGAACAGTAATGTCACCAGTTTCCTGTTGGCAGGCACTTAGATTTTTCATAGTAGCAAAATCACCATGCTGCATGTCCTTATGCCCACAGGATAAATTCCTAGCAGTGGGTTTGCTGCATCTCAGGGTGTGCATTTAATATTTTCTTAGATTTTTGTCTGATATTGCTGCTTTCTAAAGCCATTTAGTTATCTGCCATCATAGATTTATGTTCAGAGATAATGTCTTGAGAAAATGCCTTTTGGGATAGCTTTAAAGTAGAGATATTTTGGGGACTTCTGGGGCAAGAAGGAAGCTCAGGTAAATGAAGTGATAATTGGCTTGAGTGGCTTAAAAATAATGAAGTTTGAAAATTTATACAAGTTCATTATCCTTAGAACATGTAAAATATACAGTTCTCTTGTTTAGAGGGTTTTACTTTTATTAATTTCTAAACAAGGAAATTGAGAGTGCATGTGTGAAGGTGGTGATTTTGCTTTTCAGAGAGAGAGCAGTGGTTAGACTAAAGTATGTACAGAAGGGTACTGGGCCCCTGTAGTTTGGAGAGTGTTTGTGTGTACCTATGGATAGAAGAGATACTCAATGAAGAGAAGAGACTTCCTGTGAGTCCCTGAATGTGATGTGTATTTATTGCTTGAGCTTAATTGTGACGGAGGGAGTTGGGACAGAGTAGAGGGAAGCTTCCTTTCTGGGGTTCCCTTTCTGCTACGAGGGTATCCTGCAGTCATTGTGCTTCAAGATGAGAATGTGGAAGAAGTCATTAGCTGGGGCTTGGTGGAGAGGTCTGCCTTCTCAGTGGCTCTGGACTTCAAGTAAAACATTAAATATTCAGTGTCCCTCTTTGCCTTAACAAGACAGAGAGGGTTGGGGAAGGAAGGATGACCAGGAGAAAGGAAGAATTCAGAAATTTCTTTAGAAGTCAGATTATTCAGGGCTAGTTTAGGTTCTTTAAACAGTCAAAAGGAGGTTCCCTTGTTTTATCTTTGTCTTGAGGTTTTCCAGGAATAGACATGTATCTAATTTGATTTTCCCCACACTGGCAAGGCAGTTAAATATTGTAGGACTTAGTTATGGTCAGCAGGGGGCACCCATTGCTTGTCCGTCAGTCCAGGAGCCTCCAACAAAAGGATGGAGAAGAGAGTGAGTTCCTGTTTTCAGAATTGCTTCCTCTGAAAATGCCATTAAGCCATTACTACCTTTCAGAGCATCAAATGGGAAAAGTGTCTGGGATATTGGAACAAAAGCCGCCCATGTCTCTAAATTAGGGACCTTAATGAGGTTGGTTATGACCCACAGTTTTATGGGAGCTGTTTGGTGGAGAGTTAATGCCCTTCCATTTATCCTGGGTACTTCCGAACTTTGTCTCCCGCCCCTGTCATCCTCCCCCTTTTGTTTTCTCTTAAACCTTTTGACTAGTGACTTACCATGTTTTCCTAATTCAGACTCCCCTTAGCCTTTTCTCTTCCCACTCCCTTTGGCATTTTTATTTGTCCCACTTGGATTGTTCCAGCTGGAGCTACAGTCCTGTGGGAGAAATAAGGGATTTCTAAAAGAAGTGAACCAGAGCTTGTAGAGCAGTCATAAATTGCTGTTGTGATGAGAGCTGATATCTAAATGAAGGAGGAATAATCATTAGTCAAAAAGTAAATTTAAAGTTCGTAAAAGTAAATTAAATGGTTTCTGGTGTCCTTTGAGTGTTTCCCTTCAGCCCAGTTACATTTAACCATACTTCCTTCCTGATTACTTTCTTATACTGCAGCAAAGCAGCTTCATCTGTTATTTGAACTTTTATCAATAGATGACAGACAGTTCAAGGAGCTGAGGTTCTAATGGCCTTTGTGTTTGTTTGGACTAAGGGGTGGCAGAAAGATATGGGACAGAGGATATAATTCAGGGGAGTTCTTATACAATTCTAAGGTTTTGGTTTAGAATACCAGTTTCTGGATTTTTTAAATCTCTTGTTTTCCAGAGCGGCAGAGAAGAAAGTGGTAAAAATCACATCTGAAATACCACAGACTGAGGTAGGCATGCTCCCTGTTATAAGAGCAGGCTCTCTCTCTCTCTCCTCTCTCTCTCTGTCTCTCTCATCTGTATAATCACTCCAAAAAGTTGACTCACAGGCATAAAATCGGTGTTGACAGATTTCGGTATTGGATACATTTTTTTCACCAGCTATACTTTGGAAAATATTGGGCCTTTGAAATCACCTTTGAGGCCCTAGTCTTCTTGTATATAGTACTATGGCCTTAGTGCTAACTCTCTTTAAGGTGTTTACAAACTAGGATTAGAGTTTGGGAGGGTAGCTTGGAGGAGATGAAAAGTAGCAAGGGAAAATACCACTCTTGAGTTACTACTTGCTGGCTGGTGAGGTTGAAATTTCTCTGGATTCTGTCTTAAGATCTCTGAAACTCAGTTCCAGTTGAGATCTGTGTTCTTTTTTGCCTTTTTAAAAGTAGAAATGGCATAGGACAATGCTGCCTCATTTCTAACTGAAAGAGTACCACTAGTGTTGGAACCAAGCTGTTCCTTTGATCCCTTTTCAAAGGTCAAGCAAACACAGCTTTTGTCTTCTTGACTTTGTGCAGAATGTGGGTTTTATTTTATTCCTTCCCTTTTGTTTTTGAGGACATGAATGTAATAATAGTCGTTTTGTGTTTGCCTTCTGGAAATGACTGTTAAGTCAAGTCCTAAGATGGATACAACCTGGGATCCTCTAGGACTATAAGTATTATCAGTTTAGATTTAAGAAATCACTGTTGATGTTCTAAAGAGAAACACATTTAAACAACTTACCTCTTAAAAGAAGGAAACCAGAAATTGAATTTTTCTCTTCCCTCTCTTTTGTGTGTTATCCTGTAGAGAATGCAGAAGAGAGCTGAACGATTCAATGTGCCTGTGAGCTTGGAGAGCAAGAAAGCTGCCCGGGCAGCTAGGTGAGTATCCCCAGCCTTCTGGACTCAAGATGGTGAAAGAGTAGAAAGGTGAGAGGGTATGAACCTCAGTTTTAAATACAGTTGCTGATTTTAAGCAGAATAGAGGCCTTGCTGAAAAGAAATGCTCTTTGGGATCTGTTCAGAACATCTCGGCTGATTTGGATATAGTAGCTGTAGATTGGGTTTTTATTATTAAGCAGAGTTTTTATAATAGGTAAAGTCAGAAACTGACTGCTACTCCCAATTCTGATAAGGCTTCCTTTTAGTTTATGCTCTGAACTCTTGGTGAGAAAAAGACTAAACTGAACCTCTTTCATGGGGTTGTTAGAATTAGCTAATGATTGCAAGGCTTGAGATCACAAGCAAGAAGTGCCATATGTACACTTGACACGGAGACAGACAACCAAGAGTGTGAACAGCTTCCTAAAATTCAGCTTGTTTTTCTTTCTACAGATTTGGGATTTCCTCAGTTCCATCAAAAGGTAAAAATACAGAGACTTTTTGAGAAAGTTCTTTTTGTATTTTTCTGGCACAGCTGATAGTGTTTCTCCCAACTGAGGTAAACTTGTTACTCTAAAAGTCACTGAGAGATGATAAAGGTCACTGCTCTGCTTTGGGTAAAACTGTACATGAGCATCCTGGGCAGTTTAGGGAGAGCACTGAAGCCAGGGGACAATAAGGAGTACCAGTGTTTGTTTTCCTTGTCTTGGGCATCTTCAGACAAGTTTCTAGCACCTAGCTGACTTACTCTGATGTCTCAGATCAGTGTATAATTATCGTATACCTGTCTGGTGTGAGGGGTGCCTCCTGTGAGAGGTAAAGGGAAAAGAGTATCTTTTGCCTCCACAGTCTTACGTCTAGGAATTTACAAGGATATGCTTAAAGATGTAGGCACAAGGATTATCACAGTATTATTTATGGTGATCAGTAATTGAAAACAATGGCATATACAACAAAGAATTGGTTAAATAAATGTGTACCATTTGAAGACTGTGCAGATGTTAAAAATTTTATTAAAGAATATTTGTCATTAAGTGACAAAGACATTAACTGAAGAGAGCAAGCTATAAAATTACGTTAGCAGTATGTTCCCCATTTAGTAATAAATGCATGTATGGATAGGAAACAAGATTAGAAGGGTATATACTAAATTGTTAATATGCATCAACGCTGCTTGGAATTTCAAGTGACTCCTTTTTGCTTGTCTGTTTTAAAAATTCCTACAACGAATAATATATTTTATAATAAGGAAAAAATGTTATTTAAAAAAAATTTTTTTTATTAAGGTATTACTGATTACACTCTTATGAAGGTTTCACATGAAAAAACAATGTGGTTACCACATTTACCCATATTATCAAGTCCCCATCTATACCCCAGTGCAGTTACTGTCCGTCAGTGTAGTAAGATGCCACAGATTCACTATTTGCCTTCTCTGTGCTACACTGTTTTCCCCGTGATCCCTGACAACAAGTGAACTAAACATAAGACTCCTCAATCCCCTTCTCCTTCCCTCCCCACCCGCCTTCCCACACCCCTCCCCTTTAGTAACCACTAGTCCCTTCTTGGAGTCTGTGAGTCTGCTGCCATTTTGTTCCTTCAATTTTGCTTTGTTGTTATACTCCACAAATGAGGGAAATCTTTTGGCACTTGTCTTTCTCCACCTGGCTTATTTCACTGAGCATAATGCCCTCCAGCTCCATCCATGTTGTTGCAAATGGTAGGATTTGTTTCTTATGGCTGAATAGCATTGTGTATATATGCCACATCTTCTTTATCCATTCATCTACTGATGGACACTTAGGTTTCTTCCATATCTTGGCTATTGTAAAAAGTGCTGTGATAAACATGGGGGTGCATATGTCTTTTTGAATTTGAGAAGTTGTATTCTTTGGGTAAATTCCAAGGAGTGGGATTCCTGGGTCAAATGGTATTTCTGTTTTTCGTTTTTCGAGGAACCTCCGTATTGCTTTCCATAATGGTTGAACTAGCTTACATTCCCACCAGCAGTGTAGGAGGGTTCCGCTTTCTCCACATCCTCGCCAGCGTTTCTTCATAGTCTTTTCGATGCGTGCCATCCTAACTGGTGTGAGGTAATAACTCATGGTGGTTTTAATTTGCATTTCCCTGATGATGAGATGTGGAGCATCTTCTCATGTGTGTGTCTGTTGGCCATCTGAATTTCTTCTTTGGCGAAGTGTCTCTTCATATCCTCTACCCATTTCTTAATCGGGTTATTTGCTTTTTGGGTGTTGAGGCATGTAAGTAAAAATGTTATTTATTTATTTATTCATTTTTTGAGAGGGCATCTCTCATATTTATTGATCAAATGGTTTAACAACAATAAAATTCTGTATAGGGGAGTCAATGCTCAATGCATAATCATTAATCCACCCCAAACCTAATTCTCGTCAGTCTCCAGCCTTCTGAAGCATAACGAACAAGTTCTTACATGGTGAACAAATTCTTACATAGTGAATAAGTTCTTACATGGTAAACAGTACAAGGGCAGTCATCACAAAAACTTTCGGATTTGATCACTCATTATGAACTATAAACAATCAGGTCAAATATGAATATTTGTTTGATTTTTATACTTGATTTATATGTGGATCCCACATTTCTCCCTTTATTATTATTATAATTTTTATTTTTAATAGAATGCTGAAGTGGTAGGTAGGTGCAAGATAAAGGTAGAAAACATAGTTTAGTGTTGTAAGAGAGCAATTGTAGATGATCAGGTGTGTGCCTGTAGAC